GTAGTTTGGGTGTTTAACTTATTTTAGGGGTATATTGCTTTTTATTTTACGTACATTTTTTACTATATTAAGGAATAATTACTGAAAAAAAGAGTTTTTCCCCCATTATGTTATAACACATTTATTATTACCCTTTTTTTGTTGGTAAAATATAAAAGTCGGGATCACGTCGGGTAAATAGACACCAAACAGGTCAAACTTTAACATTGCACGCACCCACGAAATCGCAAAAAATGACCATACCCAAAATTGACCTTAGGCAATGCTTTAAAAGCTTTTAACGCTCATCAGTTTAGTGTTATCAGTGAATAATGGCCCTAGAATGATTGCTCTCACTGAAACGTTCGTGGTGATATGCAACACCGTGGGCGCAGTTGTCGTTTTCACACGTATGCACACCCAACGCATGTTTGCATGCGTGTATGTATAGGTGGGGACTTTAAAACAAAATTTGTGTTTTTTTTAAATTCTTTTTCATGTGTAACTTTACATAATTTCTTTTGGCAACTTTAATTTTTTTTTCTATTTTCTCCAAGACCCCTAATGTCACCTAAGGACCCCCCGAAGAAGCTGATGAAGCAGAGATATGTTTCATCAGCTTCTCTCCAGCGTCTGAAGCCGGAGAGTGACACAAGAATGCAGAAGTAATATAATATACATCACTTCCGCATTCTGACAGCAGAGAGGGGACCGGAGGGAGATCGTGTACTGATCTCCCTCTGATCCTGTCACAGAGCCACTATGCTGGCTCTGGGCGCGCACCGGGCACAGTGGAGCCCGAGACCAGTGTGACAGCTGGATGGGGGAGGGCCACAGAGGGACACACACACACACGGACTGGCAGCTTAAACAAGCTTGCATGTTAACAGGCATTGCTGCCTGTTTTTAATTTAAGGCGAGCGAGGCTGAGCAGACGTTTAAAAACGCCCATTCAGATGCAGGGAGCTCCCGGCCGGCTGTTTTTTTACAACGGACAGCCGGGAGGCGATTAAAAGGAAAAAAATCATGCCCTGCGATGTGTTCTAACAACGCACGGCAGCGCATGTGC